CTTAGAATATCTATCATTTATAGAAAGTGCCGTGTTGAAGTCTCCCAGTATTACTGTACTATTATCCAAGTATTTCTTAACTTTGGTTATTAATTGATTGATATACTTGGCAGCTCCCACATTTTGGGGCATAAATATTCATGATTTTTAGGTCCTCTTGTTGGATAGATCCTTTAAGTATGATATAGTGTCCCTCTTCATCTCTTACTACAGCCTTTGGGATAAACTTTAATTTATCTGATATGAGGATGACCTTCTCTTGAGGACCATTTGAATGGTAAATGGTTCTCCACCCTTTCATTTTCAGGCTTTAGGTGTCCTTAAGTCCAAAATGATTCTCTTGTAGACAGCAAATAGATGGACCTTGCTTTTTTATTCAGTCTGAAGCCCTGCATCTTTTGATGGGATCATTAAGCCCAGTCATATTCAGAGTTGCTATTGAAAGATATGCATTTAGTGTCATCAGAATACCCATTCAGTCCCTGTTTTTGTGGATTATTTCTTTGGACTTCCTCTTTCTTTTACAGAGTTCCCCTTAATATTTCTTGCAGAGCTGGTTTTGTGGTCACATATGCTTTCAGTTTCTGCCTATCTTGGAAGCTCTTTCTCTCTCCTTCTATTCTGAATGAGAGCCTTGCTGGATAAAGTATTCTTGGCTGCAGGTTCTTCTCATTTAGGACCCTGAATATATCCTGCCAGCCCTTTCTGGCCTGCTGGGTGTCTGTGGAGAGGTCTGCTGTTAATATAATACTTCTCCCCATATAAGTTAGGGATTTCTTATCTCTTGCTGCTTTAGGATCTTCTCTTTATCTTTGGATTTTTTTTTTATTTATCTCTATCTTTGGAATTTGCAAGTTTCACTATTAAATGTCGAGTGTTGAATGGTTTTTATTAATCAATAAATTAGGGGGGACCTCTCTATCTCCTGGATCTGAATGCCTGTTACCCTCCCCAAATTAGGGAAGTTCTAAGCCATGATTTGTTTTTATTAATCAAAGGTAGGGGGAACCTCTCTATCTCCTGGATCTGAATGCCTGTTACCCTCCCCAAATTAGGGAAGCTCTCAGCCATGATTTGTTCAGATATGCTTTCTGGCCCTCTGGCTCTGTCGGCACCCTCTGGAACCCCAATTAAACGTAGATTTTTTCCTTCTGAAGCTGTCATTTATTTCCCTTAACCTTTCCTCTAATCTTTTAATTGTTTTTCTCTTTTTTCCTCAGCTTCCTTCCTTGCCATCAACTTGTCTTCTCTGTCACTCACTCTTTCTTCTACCTCATTAACCCTTGTCGTTAGGCTTTCCAGTTTGGATTGCATCTCATTTAATTGATTTTTAATTTCGGCCTGATTAGATCTAAATTCTACAGTCATGAAGACTCTTGATGCCTGTATGCTTTTTCCAGAGCTACCAGTAGCTTTCTAATTGTGCTTCTGAATTGACTTTCTGACATTGAATTGTAATCCATATTCTGTAACTCTGTGGCAGAGATTACTGTTTCTGATTCTTTCTTTTGTGGTGAGTTCTTCTTTCTAGTCATTTTGCTCAGTGCAGAGTGGCTGTATGAGTGGGCTGCATCAAGAATATCAACCATGCGGCGGCCCCTGTGGCTCAGCGGTTTAGCGCTGCCTTCGGCCCAGGGCATGATCCTGGAGACCCAGGATTGAGTCCTATGTCACGCTCCCTGCATGGAGCCTGTTTCTCCCTCTGCCTGAATCTCTGCCTCTCTCTCTCTCTCATTCTCTCATGAATAAATAAATAAAATCTTAAAAACAAACAAACAAAAAGAATATCAACCATGACCCAAGAAATTTCCCCTAGATGATTCTTCCAAGGTCAGAGGCCAAAAATTGAAAACAAAGATCAGAGCGAAATAAAACAAAAAGACCTCTAAAGTGAAAAACAAATTTTAAAACAAAATAATAAAAAATAAAAGGCCAGGAATCCCAAAGAAGAAGAAAAAGAACAGAAAAGAAAGAAAAAAAGGAGAAGAAAAAGAAAAGGCTAGACTGGGAGATGGTGGTGGTGAGGAAGTGTAGTGGAGGGAGAATGTAGTCTATCTGAGGGGTTCTAGAGGGTGATCCTCTTGTTTCTGAGTATATTAAGTTCTGTTTGTTAGAAGATGCTCAGTCCCAAGTTTATATAAACCAGAAATACTTGTAGAGGGCTCCAACATTGACCCCCAAAACATAAATGTGATAAAAGAGGTGGGCAGAGGGCAGCCCAGTGGTGCAGTGGTTTGGCGCCACTTGCAGCCCGGAATGTGTTCCTGGAGACCCGGGATCGAGTCCTGCATCAGGCTCCCTGCATGGAGCCTGCTTCTCCCTCTGCCTATGTCTCTGCCTCTCTCTCTGTCTGTGTGTCTATGAATAAGTAAATAAATAAATCTTTAAAAAAAAAAGATGGGGGCAGAATGGGAATGAGGAATCTCACAGAATGAACCAGCACAGTTGGTTCTGGGTGCATACTGGTATGGTTTAGAAGGTATTAACTTCTGCCATTGTAGAACAAAATGAGGCAGAGAAAATAAAAAACACAAAACAAAGAAAACATATCATGTATATCTCCAAAATTAAGTTGAATATGTTGAAGGGAATTTAGAAGTGGAAAATATACCTAGGACCTGTATTTGTAGAAATATCAAAGTCAAAAATAAAGAATCTTAAAAATGAAGAGGTGGTAAAATATTGTAGTTAAGGTGGGAAAAGAGAAAAAATGGAAATTTATAGTCTGATATAAAAACTAGTTGTACTGGAAAAAGGAAGAAAAAAAAATAGGAGGGGTACCCTCTTGTTCTATATACTGTGAATCCCTCGACTTCCATTGGAGCTTTCCAGCACTACTTGGTCAAGAACTTGCTCTTTCCCCGTTCTTCCAGCTGCTTTTCCAGGGGAGGGTCTGCTGTGCTGATTCTCAGGTGTGTGCACCTGGGGGAGATTCCCCACCCCCTGCCAGGTGCTGGGGCTCAGTGGGAGCCGTTTACCCCATGAGGCCTCTGTTCCCTGGCAGCCTGACCCCTCCCAGGCACAGGGTGACACCAGAGGAACAACAGCACTGGTGGCGGCCAGCTCTCCCGCTATGGAGTCAGCTCCCCCGGTAACCACTTGTAGCTCCCAGTCCACACTGGCCTGGATGCTTCCGGGGCAGGGGTGCTGATCTGCACAGCTCAGGGGCGCCCAGCGGTTGGAGAGTCGTCGCTGTGCTGTGCCCTCCCTGCCTCTGCCTGTCCCCGGGGGAGCGCAGGATTGTGGGCTGTGTCCCTCCACGCCCTGAGATCCAGAATCTGTCCTACTGGAATCGCGCTCTTGGAGCCTCAGCTCCTGAAGGCAGCAGGGCACAGCCCCCTTGGTCTGGAGTCCCTGCCTGACCAACCGGCTTCTCCCTGAGGCCCCACCAGGCACACTCCAGCCCTTTACCGAGGTCTGCCCACAGACTGTGGCCACTCTCCCCTGGCGCACTTCCTCAGTTAGTTACTCCGGGAGATTGGAGGTTCCACTGCTCCTCCTGCGGTTCTGCCCGGTTTCCCTGATGAGCACCTTTCCATCTGGGAAGAATCTGGTGCAGATTTTTTTTTTTAAGATTTTATTTATTTATTCTTGAAAGATAGAGAGGCAGAGACACAGGCAGAGGGAGAAGCAGGCTGCATGCAGGAAGCCTGATGTGGCACTCGATCCGGGGACTCCAGCAGGCGCCAAACCACTGAGCCACCGAGGGATCCCCCGGTGCAGATTTTTAACATTCCTGCTTCTCTGGGGCTGGGCTTTCCTGTCCTGGAGGCTTTCACCACCAGCCTTAGTCCAACTCTTCACCTAGATAATAATTTTGATTTATAAAATGCCATATGGAAAAAATTCAGCTGGAAATTGTGGTGATGATATGTTGTGCGTGTTAATTTTTTACCTTTAATTCTGCTTGTGTTCATCCACAGTGACATGAATTTTGGGAACAGAAGGGAAAAACTCATCATTTTTTTTTTAATGTCATGCCTTTTATAAGAAGTACAAATTGGTATGTCCTAAAATAAGAAGTTAATAAAAGAGGGAAATCCCTTTTGTATGCTATTTTAAAAATTATATTATTATACAATATATATTTATCACCTACTTTAATCAGTTCCCTTCATTCACTTTCATCCATTTATGTCTTACTGTGCATGTAAAATTTATATTCAACAAGAATTTGGGCAATATATTTGTGAAAGTGGAATATTAAAAAAGTGGTTATGCAATTACAGGAATGCAAGAAAATGCCAATCTTTTTCATTTTTAAAATGTTGTCAGAGGGTTTGATCAGCATCTTTCATTATTGTAAGGTGATAAAAATGGCGCTGGTAGGATGGGAGTTCTCTGACATAGGATCAATCATGTTGCATTGGTGCTTGGTGCCTATCTATAGTAACACTGTCTAGGCAATAATTGCTCTATAGGTACATTTAATTGAATCACTACTTTGGTTCAATATGACTTTGAAAGAAGTCAGAACCTATACTACTTTGGAGGGAAAAGCATAAGTTGCTGCATTTTTTAGAATATCATCTGATAGTCTACAGAGAATGATTTATTGGTGGCATTGCTTTTCTCAAAATGGAAAAAAAAAAAACTAAGCAGAGATGCTCTTCATTCATTGTGACAGACAGAGGAATCAGCAGCACTGCTGAGTGAACAGGGAATGAAAAAGCCAAATCATGCAGGACTCTAAGGATAGGTGCTTCACTGGGTCCTTGCCTTTTGAAGTATTCCTTAGGAAGCCTGGTCTCACTCCATGACAGCTACCCTTGATAAGGGGCTCTGAAAGTGTTTGGATTTCAGCAAGGGGCCTGGTTGTCATTCTGCAGAGGTACATATGAATACTAGTCTGAGAAAGTTGATAAGATGGGGCAGCAGCGGCACACTGGACTGTTTTGATTAATTAAAATCATTCATCATCAGAGATTTTGAAAAGTACTCTCTGATTTTTTTGATTGACTTATTTTCCGGATGCTAAATAGCTTAATAATTTCCTGCAGGAGGAACAGCTGAAATCTCATGAAAGCAAGCTGAAGCAGATTACCACTGAGCTGGCTGAGCACCGCTCCTATCCCCCAGACAAGAAAGTTAAAGCCAAGGAGATAGATGAATACAGACTGAAGGATCACTATCTGGAGTTCGAGGTATGTTGAACCGAAATGTAGTAAGTGCCTATGCCTAAGTTATTTTATGATTTTTCCACCAGGCAGGTATTTTTCAGCTACCGTAACTGTAGGACATGTATCTTGGCCGTGGCTCTAACTTGGAGCTCCAGGCATGGTCTAGTTCATGCTGCCACTCATGTCTAAGATTCTATTGAAGCATCAAACAAACATTAAAAAATAATAATAACTGTCAGTTTATGTGCTTAAAAGCAAATAGCCTGCTCATTTGGGATAAGGTGTGCCTGCTGTGAGAAAAAACAACAGTAGATGGACAATGCCAGAATGAGCAGCTGCTTTCTATGTGTCTGTGTCTTTTCTAACAGAGTTTGAGTCCAAATAAATAAATAAAAATACAGTGGAGGGAATGAGCTACAGGGTGATATGAAACATCAGCTTCTTCCTGCATGCCTGCTTTTAGGCAACACTGATGCATTGTTCCTCTCCTCACCTGTATCCTTCAGAAGGAGATTAATAGATCAATTGTGTCATATCCATGAAGTATATAGCAAGTATAGTTATTTAAAAAAATGAGGAGGGGGCAGCCCGGGTGGCTCAGCGGTTTAGCGCCGCCTTTGGCCCAGGGCCTGATCCTGGAGACCTGGGATCGAGTCCCACGTCAGACTCCCTACGTGGAGCCTGCTTCTCCCTCTGCCTGTGTCTCTGCCTCTCTCTCTCTCTCTCTCTCTCTGTGTGTGTGTGTGTGTGTGTGTGTGTGATGAATAAATAAATAAAATCTTAAAAACAAAGAATGAGGAGGATCTGTAATCTCTGGGAAGGTGAAAAATTTTACAGCAAGGTGAAAGCAGTATATATAGTCAATGTTAGCTTTGGCTACATTTTCTCCCCAGTTAGACAGTATCAGGGTTAGGAAGGATCTTCTGACTCCCTCCCCCCCTTCAGCTGTCACTTTCAGACATTTAAAGTATCTTTTTGTTTTGCTTTACATGGATAGCATATAGTCCAAAATGAATAAATCAGTTATTTTAAAATTTCTCACATGATTGTGTTTTCTGTTAGGTGTGCTAAATCCATCTTTTCTCACATGATTGTGTTTTCTGTTAGGTGTGCTAAATCCATCTTTAGCTACTGTTTTTCTTCTAGTTACAGTCTGTTTTACTTCCCATCATTCATCTCCTTTGTTCCCATCTTACCATCCTGTTTCCTCACATAGGAAGGAAGAAAGCCTTATCTTGAAACTCAGAATCATCTGAGCACCCTCCTCCTGGCACCTGCAGGGCCCTGCATCTAGCCAGGAGTCAAATCTCAGTGTTCTGTCTCTATAGAGTCTTGCTTCTGTCCCTTCCTTATCACAGGCATTGCTTTTATACTTCCTCTGCTCATGCCCTGGGTTTTTCATCTCTTACCTGAATGTGGTGGTTACCTCCTGCTCTTTAGTTCTCTTCTGACAGTTTTCTAAAGCTTAACCCAGACAGTGGCGTTCCTCTCTTCAGCAGTTGCCATGACTTCCCCTACAATTCTCCCCACAACTTATCTTATGAATAAAGTCTCAATCCTTAATTTAAGAGGATTTGGATTCCTTCTATGTTTCCACCACACTGGTCTTTCCACAACAGCCTTTGTGTATGTTAGTCATGTTTCTGCCCACTCTCTCCAAGCACACCTTTGTTCCTCTACTTTCTTCTGCGCCAAATGCTCTTCCCTGCACCTTCATTTCCAAGAGTCCTGTTCATCTTTCAAGATGCAGCTCAAATTCCTCCTCATGTAGTTTTGGAATGTTGTTGGCTTCTGGAGTTTATGGACAAGAAAGAATTCTCGAGATGTCATTGGTGCAAAAATATAAGTTGATTTATTATTAAAGCACCCAGACTGGACTCCTGGGTAGAAAGAGCTGCACTGGGAATATGACCGGTGATTGGTTATGTATTTTTTAAGTTTGTCTTTACAAGGAAGTTTCCAAAAGGATTTTTGTATGTTAAAGAAGCTTTATAGGATCCTGGAGGCCTAACTGTTGTCACACTAAGGTTGTTTTTTCCTCTAGCAAAGCATTAAAATTAAGACAGTTGGGAGTTCCTGGAGGAATGTCATTCTCTGCCTGTCTCAAGTATTTGTCAATGGGCTGCAAGTTGTAAGGAACTTTAATTTTATCTACATTTCTTTTGCCTTTGTTCTCCACATCAACCTTGCCAGCAAAAGACCTGAAAAATATTTTTTAAAAAATAAAACAACTACAGCTCATCTTTCTTTCCCCAGGCTTGTTCATTCTTGAGAAATGGGAATATCTCAAAAAGCAATCATAATTCTTCACACTCCTAGAGTAGCTTTCACCTATAGGCCCTTTTATTTTCACACATGCTAATTAAATTTCCCAACACCTCAGTCCCCTGTTTCTGGTCCCCAACAACTTACTTTCAGTCCTTGCCTTTGCAGATTATAAATCTGCTCCCAGGAGATGGGGGGTGGCTGCACAACCATGGGAGGGTTGTCACTGCTAAAAGCACTCCTTATTTTCAAACGTGCTCTGGTGCCCCCTTTTCAAAAATGCAACCTAACAAGAGCAGCATTTTCATTTCCTGATGAAACTTAGACCAAGCTTTGTGGGGATAAATGTTGCTTTCATCATACCATCACCTCAGGGAACCTGAAGATTGTACCCACAGCCTCTGGCTCGTTAAAATCATATTCTGATGCTGATGTGTTAGGCATGTTAGATTGTCTCTCAAACTGCATTAATTTGTGTCCACCAGGAATGTAGAAGAGTAGATGCTATCCAAACAGGCTTTTGTAAAAGTAATCCTTTTTAAAAATGAATTATTATTTTTCGTGAACTTAAAATTGAAATAGTATATCTTGTGGGGTCCACTTTGCTATTCTTTCAGCCACCAGTATTTGCCTTGTGTGTGTGCTTATGGAGATCTTTTATATAGCAGTAAGTACCCGGCTTTATGAAGAGCATTCCCTGAGCAGACAACTTCATTCCCCAGACGGATCTAATCTCATTCCCTGAATAGGGGACGTGAGAGTGGTTGATCATCTTGTATATTTTATCACATTCGGGAACATGCACTGAGTGCTCAATACATATTCATTGAATGAATGAGTGGAATTTTATTATTATATATAAAAAATAACATCAAAGAAAGTAGTTCTCTGAGATAGCTTAGTGTAGGTCCCCTGAGAACAAATCTGATAGGCAGATGAGAAAAGAAAGCATTAGCATTCTCCATAGTTCAGTGTGAACCTCAAATGGGCAGTGACAAGAAGGGGAGTTTTAATCCCATCTGCATGCAGTCACCAAGAAGAATCAGAGACAGAAATGAGCTCTTTCACCTATTCCTATAGAAAGGGCCTCCCTGTGGTTTCAGACCACAGAAAGTTCTTATAATTTTTTACATCTTGGTAAAGACAAATGTTTTTTGTTGTTTTTTAAGATTTTATTTATTTATACATGAGAGAGACAGAGAGAGGCAGAGACACAGGCAGATGGAGAAGCAGGCTCCATGCAGGGAGCCCGATGCGGGACTCAATCCCGGAACTCCAGAATCATGCTCTGAGCCAAAGGCAGATGCTTAACCACTGAGCCACACAGGCATCCCAAGACAAGTGTTTTTATTTTGTTAAAATATTAAACTTTTAGTAATTACACTGGGAGTTGTTCCTAAATGTATGCATTTCAGTTGTTTATATCCCAAGGTGTTTTCAGTAACAACAGTTCTTCATGGTGGGCCAAATTCACAGCTCTTCCTGTGCCTCAGAAATATTCTCTTATCAACAATAGCCATTGTTGTTGATAAGAGAATTATGGAAAGGCTTCAAATATCCATTGACTAATAGATGGATGAAGAAGATATATACAGAAGATATATACACACTGTTACTCAGCCATCAAAAATAATGAAATCTTGCCATTTGCAACAATGTGGATGGATCTAGAGAGTATTATGCCAAGTGAAATTAGAGAAAGACAAATACATGTTTCACTCATGTGTAATTTAAGAAACAAAACATGAACATAGGGAGAAAAAAAAGAGAGGCAAACTAGAAAATAGACTTTTAACTATAGAGAACAAACTGAGGTTTGCTGAAGGGGAGATGGGTAGGGAGATGAGCTAAATGGGTGATGGGTATTAAGGAGGTGCCCTTATTGTGATGAGCACCAGGTGTCATATGTAAGTTATGAATCACCAAGTTCTACTCATGAAACCAATATTACTCTATATGTTAACTAACTAGAATTTAAATTAAAACTTCAATAAAGAAAAGAACTTCAATAAAAAAAGCACTACCTTTTACTGCCTCTTAATTTTTCAAGAAGTATTTGTCTTAGATCTGACAATAAATATATAAAATGCCCCCAAAAGAAGAAAGAAATATTCTCCAAACTCTGACAGTATGTTACTAGAAATTGTACTAAATAAATAGGTTCAGAGTTTGTTTCATTTTTGTTTTAAGGTCTATACAAAATCTACAGAAAAGAAAGAAAAGAAAGCAAGGAAACGTCCATTTATCTTACTAGCCTTAGCGTGTAATAAATAGATTCTCTTTTACTTAAAGCAGCAACTTTCCTTTAGAATGGGCTATCATTGACTAAATCTGTGCCTATCTGTCTGTTAACTGTTAGCAGGGAAGGGCAGTTGTTTTGTTTTTGATTAGATTGGTACCCCCAAGCTGTGGCTATTAATTCTTTGGAAGAGTTCACCTGGAACCTAAACTCACTTTTGAAAGAGCTATTACACATCAAAAAAAAAAATGAAAGAGCTATTAGACATCACAAGTCTCTGTTCAGAAACTCACCAATTTCAAAAAATAAATATCAGTAATAACCTCACTTCTTTAAAAGTAATTTCTACTTTATTCAGTTCCTATTTCACTTAAAATTGTCTAAATGCTTCTGGTGCATTTGGAAGTTTTTCAAGATATGAGAGAGATGGATACTTTGAATCAAATATAAAAATTTACAAAACTTGAGCCAAAGCACAGTAGGCTGAGCTGTGCCAGGAAACTCCTGAGACCTTTAAGAA